CCCAGGGATGGCCCTGCATGGGGGAGGAACCAGGAGGGTCTTGAAGCCCAGGAGCAGCTCTGCCAGGCCTAACCCCCCTTCCCTGGAGGAGGGAGACAGGGCAGAGTCCCAGGGGTCTTGTCCTGTTTGCTTCGGACTGAGTTCAGATTGGAGTCTCAAGGAGATACTCAAGTAATGTGCGGCATGGAGGCGCAGCCAGCATGGTGTCAACACTGCCTGGCAGGAGGGGCAGAGACTTGGGTCCTGATGTGGCCTCTGTCCCTACCTTGTGACCCTGGAGAGTTGCAGAGACCTCCCCATCCATCAAGTCGGGTGGTTATGCTGGAATGCATACCACTACTTGGGTCCCTTCCAACTCTGAGAATCCAGTTCTATTCATTCTTTTACTCACTCACTAACTTGTTATTTCAGTGAAATACAGGGTGAAGCTCAGTAAACATACTTTAGTACAAATAAAGTGGTGGACAGAGTTGCAGGGATAAGCAAAGACTGATAGGAGAGTAATGATTTGTTAAAAGCAGGGACTCTCAAGTCAGATTGCTTGGGTTCAAATTCTTCCCCCATCACTTGATAACTGCATAACCATGGGCAAGTTACCTGACCACCTTGAGCACTGATTTCCTCATCTGTAAAACGGGTACAATAGGAGTATATGCTTCATAGAGTCACTGCAAGAATTAAATGAGGTAACACAAATAATGTTCTTAGAAAAAATGTCAGGTACATGTCAAACACTCAATAAATGTTAGCTATTATTTTTCCTTGGAGGATGAATGAATTTCTGCAGGCAAAGATGTGTGCATGGGGTGGGGGTGACCTACAGAACAGCACACACTAAGGCGCGGAGACAGGAAAGCCCAGTGCAAATCTGGAGAATAGCAAGAGACCAGCCTGGAGAAATTGGGAAAAGACAAGTTGGGGGCAGATGGTGAGATGCCTTGTGCCAGACTAAGAAACTTGGACCTCATCAACATTTTCCAGTTAGTGTTTCCTGGAGCACCAGAGTCCCATAAGATGCTATGGGATGTTTTGTAACGATACTAGGAGGATATCAACAAGCAAAAGAATGAAGTTACCTTACCTCAGGCCATATACAAAAATTAACTCAAAACGGAAGCCTATGTTTTAATATAGCCTAAATATAAGTGCTAAATCTATAAAGTTTTTTTTTTCTTTTTGAGATGCAGTCTCTCTCTGTTGCCCAGTCTGGAGTGCAGTGGCACCATCTCGGCTCACCACAACCTCCATCTCCCAGGTTCATGCGATTCTCGTGCCTCAGCCTCCTGAATAGCTTGGATTACAGGCGTGTACCAACATACTCAGCTAATTTTTGTATTTTTAGTAGAGACGGGGTTTCCCCAAGTTGGCCAGGCAGGTCTTGAACTACTGACCTCAAGTGATCTGCCCACCTTGGCCTCCCAAAGTGCTGAGATTACAGGCATGAGCCACTGCCCTGGGCCCTAAACCTATAAAATTCTTAGAAGAAAACACTGGAGTAAATCTTTGTGATCTTGGATTTGGCAATGGTTTCTTAAATATAACACCAAAAGTAAAAGCAACAAAGGAAAAAAATAGATAAACTGACCTCTATCAAAATAAAGAACTCCTATAACTCAGTAGTAAAAAGACGACCCAATTTAAAAATGGGTAAAGGATCTGAATAGACTGACCTTTCTCCAGAGAAGATATAGAAATGGCCGATAAGCACACTAAAAAAATGCTCAATACCATTAGCCATCAGGGAAATGCAAGACAAAACCATGATAAGATACAACCTCATACTCACAAGGACGACTAGAAGCAAAAAGTTAGATAAAAGGTGTTAACAATGGCCAGGTGCAGTGGCTCATGCCTGTAATCCCAGCAATTAGGGAGGCTGAGGTGGGCGAATCACCTGGGGCCAGTAGTTCGAGACCAGCCTGGCCAACATGGCAAAACCTCGTCTCCACTAAAAATACAAAAATTAGCCAGATGTGGTGGCTCATGCCTGTAATCCCAGCTACTCGGAAGGCTGAGGTAGAAGAATTACTTACACCAGGAAGCGGAGGTTGCAGTGAGCCAATATCGTGCCACTGCACTCCAGCCTGGGTGACAGAACGAGACTCCATCTCAGAAAAAAAAAAAAAAAGAAAAAGAAAAAGAAAAAAAAAGTGTTAGTGAAGATGTGGAGAAATTGGAGCCCTCAGCGGTGCTGGGGGAAAGGTAGAATGGTGCAATTGATTCAAAACATAGTCTGGCATTTCCTGAAATGGTTAAACATAGAGTTGCCATGTGACCCAGCAATTTCACTCATAGGTATATACACATGAAAAATGAAAACATGTGTTCACAGAAAAACCTGTACATGAGGGCCAGGTGTGGTGGCTCACACCTATAATCCCAGCATTTTGGGAGGCCAAGGCAGGCGGATCACCTGAGATCAGGAGTTCGAGACCAGCCTGGCCCTGTCCCATCTCTACTAAAAATACAAAAATTAGCTGGGCACACACCTGTAATTCCAGCTATTCAGGAGGCTGAGGCAGGAGAATGACTTGAACCCGGAACCCAGGAGGCGAAAATTACCGTGAACTGAGATTGTGCCACTGCACTCCAGCCTGGGTCATAGAGTGAGACTGCATCTCAAAAAACAAACAAACAAAAATCCTGTACATGAATGTCCACAGCAACATTATTTATAATAGCCCCCAAGTGGAAACAATCTAAGTACCCATCCACTGGTGCATGGGTAAACAGCATGTGGCACAGTCACACAATGGACTATTATTTGGCTGTAAGGAATGAAGTGCTGACACATATTGTAGCGTATTGACACGTGCTACAATATGAATGAATCTTGAAAACATGATCCTGGGTTTGAGAAGCCAGGTCCAAAAGGCCACATATAGTATGGCCTCATTTACATAAACTATTCAGAACAGGCAAATACAGAGACAGAAAGCAGGTTAGTAGTTGCCTAGGGTTGAGAGCAGAGAAAGAAGGGTGGTGATTTGAGGGTGATAACTAAAGTATGTAGGGTTTCTTTTCAGGGTAATGAAAATGTTCTAAAATTGATTGTAATGATAGTTGCACATATCTGTGAATATTCTAAAAACCATTAAATTGGCTGGGCGCCATGGTTCATGCCTGTAATCCCAGCACTTTGGGAGGCCGAGGCAGGTGGATCACCTGAGGTAGGGAGTTCGAGACCAGCCTGACCAACATGGAGAAACCCCGTCTCTACTAAAAATACAAAATTAGCTGGGCATGGTGGTGCATGCCTGTAATCCCAGCTACTCCAGAGGCTGAGTCAGGAGAATCGCTTGAACCTGGGAGGCGGAGGTTGCGGGGAGGCAGAGGTTGAGGTGAGCCGAGATCACACCATTGCACTCCAGCCTGGGCAACAAGAACGAAACTCCGTCTCAAGAAAACAAAAAAAAAAAACAAAAAAAAAAAACAACAAAAAAAACCTTACCACCGGCATTAGAGAGATACAAAGCAAAACCACAGCAAGATACTATCTCATGCCAGTCAGAATGGCAATTATTAAGTCAGGAACAACAGATGCTGGTGAGGCCCCAGAGAGACAGCAATGCTTTTACACTGTTGGTGGGAATGTAAATTACTTCAACCATTGTGGAAGACAGTATGGCGATTCCTCAAAGACCTAGAACCAGAAATACCATTTGACCTAGTAATCCCATTACTGGGTATATACCCAAAGGAATATAAATCATTATATTATAAAGATACATGCACACGTATGTTCACTGCAGCACTATTCACAATAGCAGACATGGAACCAACCCAAATGCCCATCAGTGATAGACTGGATAAAGAAAATGTGGTGCATATACACCGTGGAATACTATGCAGCCATGAAAAGGAATGAGATCATGTCCTTTGCAGGGACATGAATGGAGCTGGAAGTCATTATCCTCAGCAAACTAATGCAGGAACAGGAAACCAAACATGTTCTTGCTCATAAGCGGGAGATGAACAATAAGAACACATGGACACATGGAGGGAGAAAACACTGGGGCTTGGCAGGAGACAGGGTGAGGGGAGGGAGAGCATCAGGAAAAATAGCTAATGCAGGGCTTAATACTTAGGTGACGGGTGCAGCAAACCACCATGGCACGTGTTTACCTGTGTAACAAACTTGCACATGTACCTCGGAACTTAAAATAAAATTAAATACCTGTTTTTGGTAGAGATGGCATCTGATTATTTTGCCCAAGCTGGTCTCCAACTCCTGGTCTCAAGCGATCCTCCTGCCTTGGCCTCTCAAAATGCTAGGCTTACAGGTGTGAGCCACCATGCCTGGCCAAACTGTACACTTTAAATGAATGAGTTGTATGACATGTGAATTATATTTCCATAAAACTGTAAAAAATAAATACAAGTAGGGGGTGTGAATCTATCATCAGACCAGTCTGGGAAATGCTGGGTTAAGGAGAAGATTGTTGCTAGGTGTGGTGACCCGTGCCTGTAGTCCCAGCTGCTCAGGAGGCTGAGGCAGGAGGATCCCTTGAGCCCAGGAGTTTGAATCCAGCGTCATCTTAGCAACATAGCGAGACCCTGTCTCTAAACAAGAAAAAAAGAGAGGATTGTTTGCTTTGGGACTTCTCTGAGCCTTTTATATGCTAATATGCATCGGCAAAGTCCTGGAGTGGGTTAGAGTGTGTATCGTTTTCCAAAACTCTGACCATGGTTTAACCATGGAATCATCTTCAGAAGAACCTCTTTTAACCTCTCACAAAACGCTTTTCACACTTCTTTGTTTTGTTTTGTTTTTGAGACAGAGTCTTGCTCTGTCGTCCAGGCTGGAGTGCAGTGGCGCAATCTCGGCTCACCACAAGCTCCGCCTCCTAGGTTCACGCTATTCTCCTACTTCAGCCTCCTGAGTAGCTGGGACTACAGGCGCCCGCCACCACGCCTGGCTAATTTTTTTGTATTTTTAGCAGAGACGGGGTTTCACCATGTGAGCCAGGATGGTCTCCATCTCCTGACCTTGTGATCCGCCCACCTTAGCCTCCCAAAGTGCTGGGATTACAGGCTTGAGCCACTGCACCCGGTCACTTTTCACACTTTTTGGCTGCAAGCAGTGGTGAGCCATTGAAGGTTCAAGCAGGAAAAGGCCCTGATAGAGGGAAGCACCTAGAGGGAAGCCAGGCTGTGGTGGGGACATGAAAGTGGGAGGACAGCCTAGTGGCTTCGTGCCAGTGAGGTGGTTAAAAAGGATCTGAATAGACATTTATCTAAAGAAGAAGAAGATATACAAATGGCCAATAGACATACAAAAAGATGCTCAATATCATTAGTCATCAAGGAAACGCAATTCAAACCATAATGAGACACCACATCACATCCACCAGGTGTGGAGGCGGGGGTGGTAGGGATCCAAACACAGTGTTCAGAGGAGACGACCCTGCCACTTCTCTCTTCAGCTCTAGGAAGGGGAGCTTCTCCTCTCCCTGCACTCCCTGACCTGAATCCTAGGAATTCCCAGATTCTCCCTGATGCATCCTGGAGCCCCTGGTGGCCATTGCTTCCGGAGAGGATGCTGGGGGCCCTCGTCCACCCCAGCTGTGTTTATGTCCCTCTTCCTGGAAGTGGGATAGGCACCAGCCTTATCAGGCTGGTAGGTGTGGGAGGAGGGCACCGGATCTGGGGGCCTATGATAATCCTGGCAGTGGGGGCAACAGTGGGTGAAGCAGGTTGGCCCGATCAGGGCTAGTCAGGCTGGAGCAGAGTGTCTTGTCCCGTTTCAAGGTGTCTTCTTCCAGAACAGCTCTCTTTCTCCCAGGCCATGAGAAACACACCTGGAGGTTGGAGCTGAGGGAACTCAGAGAAGGAAAATTGGCCTTTAAGTCTTAAAAGTCTTAGTCATACTGGTCACCATTTGTTGAGTACTTACTACATATTCTACCTTGTGCTAAGTGCTTTGCATGCATATCTTATCTGATGCTCAAAAAAACCCTCATTTCCCCATTAGACAGATGAGGAAACTGAGCCTTAGAGGAGTTCAATAATTTGCTCAATATTATCCAAGGAAGTAGGTCAAAGGAGTCTCATGAAATGAGATTAGAAATTGAGTTCTGGACAAGGGAGTAAGATTGGAAAAGCACATACAGCTGCCTTCTTCCAGCTTTCCTGCTCCACAGCCCAGCCTGGTACAGCCCCGCACCCACAGCCTCTCTCAGGGTCCTAGGAGTGGGGACAGGGAGCGCCCTGAGATGACCTCAAAACTCCTAGCTGCCTGGTATGGTAAGTGTTCAGAGATTGCTTTCAAATGACATCCTTGTCTCGATCTGAGGCCACAGAAGAGGGGGAAATGTCAGGAAAGGTAGAGAGGCCATGCCCGCTCCAGGCTTCTACTAAGGCAGGGAAGGGGACCCCAAGGAGTTTAGGGGTATCCACCGGGGTTGGGCCCTTGGACAGGGTGACAGCAGGCAGAAGCTGTCCAGGAGGGAGTGCAGCAGAGCAGGTGAGGAGCACTGTTAACTACCCAAAGGGCAGACCCATTGATTGCCATCCCAGAGCCATGGAAGGGGATCCTGGAAGGGCAGAGACTGGATTTCAGAAAGAACATCCATTAACAGGGGATTCTGTACCTGAGAGAGAAGGCTTGGGGTCTCCAGGCTGGAGGAGATGCTGGCCGGCCTGGAGGCCAGGGGGATGGCTGAGATGGTGCAGCTGCATTACAAAGATGGTTCTCCTGTCTGTGGCCAAACCCAGTCAAGGACCCAGCAGTCTGGACCCCTATATCCTTGATGCTGTCTCAGCTTGGAGGCAGAGGGATGGACACTGTGGCCTCCTCCCATAAGCCTTCTGGGTTGCAGGAGAGAGTTGGCTGGGGAGAAGGAGCATCATTAATTCCCCCAAATATTTATAGTGTTCCTAGTGCTGGGCCTGCAGCCAAAGCCCTTGGGTCAGGCCCTGTGCTGTGTCCATTACTCACGTCTCAGTCAGGCGAGCAGGCCTTGGACACAGGGAGGGGCGGCCAGAGGAGGCCAGAGCCTGGGAGGGGGTGCAGGAGAACAGTAGCCCGCTGCCTGCCGCAATCCCTCCCCCAGCCCACCCGCCTGGCAGGAATCTGGCTGCACCCCAGATGCTTATGGCTCTCCAAGGAGAGGTAGAGAAGTGAGGGGCGGGGAGCAGTCTCTCTTGTCTCCCTGGTTCAGATTATCCGGCCACCAAGAATGGGGGCTCCCCCAGGCCCAGGCTGGGTCAGACAAGCTGCTGCCTGCCTTACATCCTGGGCGGGAAGCGGTCCCTAGAGGCAGAGCTGACAGGAAAAAATACTCAAGGAGCTTGACAGGAGTGGGGACACTGCCCTGGGCCCACCGGCCACCTCCCAGGGCACACAGCCACATCCCACACCCAAACTACTGGAGGGTTTGGGGAGGCTGCGGCGGCCCCGGACAATCAGCCCTGTGTTGCCCCTCCCAAGCTGGGCAGCCGGGCCCCGCTCCCAGGACCCTGCCCAAGTCCCTCTTGGAGTCTTCTCCCCTGCTTCACCGGAGCTGCCTCCATGACCCACCTCCTCCTCCTGTTCCTGTCTCCCTCTGTCTCTCTGTCCCCTTCTCTCTTCATCTCTCATGTCTGCACAGACAGGCTGGGACAGGAATCCAGGTGCCACTCACTCAAAAGAGGTTTGGTGGGAGGAAGGAAACCCGGCCGGGTGAAGCAGCGACTGACGTCCTTGGAGTGTCAAGAGCCCAGGCCCTCCCTTGCCTGCCCTGCCCTGCCCTGCCCTGGGAGGTTTGGGGTGGAAACATAGGAACAAACAGCCTCCCTCTCCCCCTCGACGTGGTTTAAGCAGATAAACCTGGATTTCAACCAAGCCTCTCCTAAGTCAGTAAACACCTGCTCCCTTGCCCCATACAGCCCCTGAGGACAATGAGGGACGCTGTCTCATCTGCCCCCTGGGGAGCCCTCATTCTGCCTCCCGGCCAGCCCAGGAGGGGCTGTCAGCCTGAGAGACTCTAGGCCCCTTGGGGGCAAAAGGCTGTTGTAAAGGACAGGACCCCTACTCACTCACCACCTCTCCTCCCCTGGACAGGACTTTCCAGGCTGGGACTGGACCACAGGGGAGGGTGGGAACTGCGAGGCAGAGGGGGGTCCCCTATTCCTACCCATCCAGGATGGGGCAACTGGCTGGTCCCTCCACACCTTTTGCAAGTCTTGAGCCGGGGCAGCGAGGGCAGGTCCACCCTGGCATCAGGGCTTTGGAGGGCAGTGTGGCCATCATGGGAGAGCCAAACACCCCCGCCCAGCCCCAAGTTTTCCTTTTCCTCTCCCAGCTTCCGGAAGATCCTCTGTCTCTCGCTGGCTCCTGGTCTCTGCCACCCTCTTTCCCTCCCTCAGGAAGTCTTCTAGGAGGCAGCAGGCTGGGGAGCCAATACTGCGGGCCAGGGAGATGAGCGGGGAGAAAAGTTTACCCACACGATCTCATTTGCCTCTCACCGTTTAGAGGCTGCAGAGATTCTGAAGCCTTGGGTTGGGCTGGACCTCACCTGTCATTCAGCTTTCCCAAGGAGAGCTTGGGGCTGGGCAGAGGTGCCTGGAGCTCTTCTCTGGTTGGGCTAAGTGCTGGTGAGCAGCTACCCTGCTCAAAGTCCATGTGAGGCTCCCTGAGGAGGACAGTCAGTGGAGCCCATCCACCCCTGCTACTCAGATGCCAGTCAGTGCTCGGGGGAGACAGGCAAGGCAGGGCCCCACTCAGGCTGGGAGACAGGACTTGGTATGGTCTGTGTGCTGGGGGGGTGGGGATGAGGATGAGGAAGGAGACAGCCTCTTTGATGAGGACATCTGAGAAGGCTGGCTGGAGGAGGTGGCATTTGGAGATAAGCCTTGATGAGGAGGGTTTCATCAAAGCAGTCTCCCATCTCTCTTGGGGGCTATGTTCACCACTGTTCATCCCCCAGCCTGGAGCCTCCTTCAACACCAGGAGCAAAGCAGCTCCTGGCATTCCTGCCAGCTCCCCCAGGGTGCTGGCCTCTTCTCCCTGCAGCCCATGACCTTCCAACTGTGCAGCTTTGGGTATGTGGTGAAGCCTCTCCAGGCCTCATCTATGCTGTACAGGCACTAAAGTGGTTTTCCTGCTAGTGGACTGTGGTCATGCTGGCGACAGCTCAGTCACAGGTGAGGCCCAGCCCAATCAAAGCCTTTAGAATCTTTGCAGCCTCCAAACGGTGAGAGGCAGATGATATTATGGGTAAACCTCTTTCTCCCCCGTCACCTCCCTGGCCTTCAGTATCAGTTGCTCCTTGATGTGTTGCAATCAGCAGGCCACTAGTTCCTGGCTGCTCAGGGCCAGATTATTCTTCCTTGGGGACTGGGACCTGCGTGGAATCCCTTGCCTCTTTGGGGGTCAGAATCCTTCCCTCCAAGGACAGGTCTGGGTGGGGAATGGGTGGGGTGGGGAGAGCTCTCCTTCAAGCCTCCAGATGTCAGTGAGGAGAATCGCCATCGCCTTTTCTAGCCACTTTGGCCTTTGGCCTCCGACATTCTCCAAGAGTCTGTGTTCATGTCTGGCCAGCGGGGCTGACCTTCTGCAGCCCTGAGTGAGTGTGGGCAGGGGCTTGGAGAAAGTTCACTAGGCTGGGTTGGCCCTAAACCACATCTAATTTCCCCTGCTGCTTTTATGTGAAAACCAAGGCTCCGCCACCTGGACACCTGAGTCCTCCAAACCTCCAGGCTCTCCTTCCACTCCCATGTTTAGAAGATACACTCGGGCCAGGCGCAGTGGGAATCCCAGCATTTTGGGAGGCCGAGGCAGGCGGATCACTCGAGGTCAGGAGTTTGAGGTCAGGAGTTCGAGATTAGCCTGGCCAACATGACGAAACCTCGTCTCTACTAACAACACAAAAATTAGCCGGGCATGATGACGGGTGGCTGTAGTCCCAGCTACTCGGGAGGCTGAGGCAGAAGAATCGCTTGAACAAGGGAGGTGGAGGTTGCAGTGAGCTGAGATCGCGCCACTGCACTCCAACCTCGGTGACAGAGTGAGAGTCTGGCTCAAAAAAAAGGAACACGCGCTCGAGTGGTGTGAGTGTCACCCTCACCCTGGCCTCCCTGACCTGTCCTTGCTGTTCTCCCACTGCCCTCTGCCTCTCACCTGCGGGCTATTCACTCTGAACTGTGTCAGCCCAGGTGTGGAATGCAGCCCCCCTTCCCTTTAATTCCTCCCTAAATACTCTTCACCCAAGACAGCAAGGGTGGGGGATCATTCCTGAGGGATGGGGGTGATGGAGGAGGAAGGGGCTACTTTTCCACCCATCACTGAATATCCAGCTCCCAAGCCCATGTTTCCACCTCCCTCTGGTTGCCAACCACCTTATTTTCTTGGTTTTCAGTCTCTCTCTGTCTCTATCTCCGTCTGTCTGTCTGTCTCTCTCTCTCTCTCTCTCTCTCCACATCTATCCTCAGGAATTCTCTCCTGAGTGGTCTTCTGAAACCCAGAGTTCTCCCAGGCTATTAGCTAGATCCTTTCTCTTTCTCTCTCTCTGTTTCACATCCCAAGAGAGCCCAGCAAGGTATTTCCTAGTTCTCCTGCCAGCTTTTGCAATAACGTGTGTGTGTGTGTGTGTGTGTATGTGTGTTTTCTATTCCACACAGTTGGGGAAAGTGAACCCCAGAAAGAGAAGGTCACTTGCCCAGGACCTTACAGAGTGAAGAACAAAGAAGGAATAAGAACTTAAGACTTTTAACTTCCTGTGTAAGAACTGCGTGACTCTGGGTAAGTTCATGAGTCTCTCTGGGCCACCATTTTATTTTATTTTAATGGAAATGTTTTATTGAAGTGTAACACATAGACAGAAAAGTGGATGAATTTTCACCAAATGGACACACCTATGTAACCAGAATCCAGGTTGGGAAATTTAATATTTCCAGTATCCCCCAAGCCCTCTTGAATCTCCTCCCAATTTCTTCCTTCCTAGAAGGTAGCAATCATCTTGACTTCTACCACCATATGTGCGTTTTGCTGGTTTTTGAACTTTTGATCAGCAGAATCATAGAATATGTGTTCTTTTGTGTCTGGCGGTTCTTGCTCAACATTAAGCCTATGACATTCGCCCATCTTGTTTCTTGTAGTTACAGTTTGTTTCTTTGCATTGCTGGACACCCTCGTATGAATACACCGCCATTTATTTATTCAGTCGACTGCTGATGGACATCTGGATTTTTTCAGTTTAGGACTGTTGACAGTAGTGCTGTGGTGAACATTCTTGTGCATGTTTTTTGGGGCACAATGAATACTTTTCTGTTGGATACATGCCCAGATATGGAATTGCTGGTCATAGAGGCTGTGTATGCTCAGCTTTAGTTGATACTATCATAAAGTTTTCCAAAGCGGTTGTGCCAACCCACACTCCTGCTGGCTGGTACAAGAGCCCTATTTGCTGCACACCCCTGCCAATCTTCAGAAGTCAGTCTTTTTCATTTTAGCTCGTTGCAGCTTTTGCATTGCCCTAGTGACTTACGATATTGAGCATCTTTCCATATGATTACAGGGCATTTGGAAAGCCTTATTGTGGCAGGCTTGTTCATGTTGCCTGCCCATTTCTATTGAGTTATCTCTCTCTTTCCTATTGGTCTGTTAATGTCCTTTATATGCTCTGGATACAAGCCTTTTGTGGTGCAAATTTCTTCTGCAACTCTGCAGCTTTCCTTTTCACTTTCTTTTTATTTATTTATTTATTTTTTGAGACAGAGTTTCGCTCTTGTTGCCCAGGCTGGAGTGCAATGGCTTGATCTCAGTCAACTGCAACCTCCCAGGTTCAGGGAGGTCCTGCCTCAGCCTCCCAAGTAGCTGGGATTACAGGCACGCACCACCACGCCCGGCTAATTTTGTATTTTTAGTAGAGACGGGGTTTCACCATGTTGGTCAGGCTGGTCTCGAACTCCTGACCTCAGGTGATCTACCTGCCTTGGCCTCCCAAAGTGCTGGGATTACACGTGTCAGCCACCATGCCCAGCCCCTTTTCACTTTCTTAATGGTGACTTTTAATCAACAGAAGTTCTAATTTTATTTTATTTTGATTATAAAGATAGGATCTTGTTCTCTCACCCAGGCTGAAGTGCTGTGGCACAATCGTAGCTCACTGCAGCTTGAACTCCTGGCCTCGGGTAATCCTCCTGCCTCAATCTCCCGAGTCGCTGGGACTATAGGCACACACCACAGTGCCTGGCTTAGAAGTTCTTAATTTCATGGAATATAATTTATCAAGTTTTTTTTTTTTTCTTTATGGCTAGAACTTTTTGTGCCCTGTTTAGGAAATTTAGTTACCCAGGAGGCTGAGGCAGGAGGATCGCTTGAGCCCAGGAGTTCGAGACAGCCTGAGCAATGTGGTGAAATCCAGTCTCTACAAAAAAATACAAAAATTAGCCGGATGTGGTGGCATGTGCCTATAGTCTCAGCTACTCAGGAGGCTGAGGTGGAGGTGGAAGGATTGCTTGAGCCCGGGAGGTTGATGCTGCAGCGAGCTAGGATCATACTACTGCACTCCAGCCTGGGTGAGAGAGCAAGACCCTGTCTCAAAAAACAAACAAACAAACAAACAAACAACAACAAAAAAAAAACTTTGCCTACCCAAGGTCATGAAGATATTCTGTTTTTTTCTAGTGGCTTTACCTTTTATATTTAGATCTATATTCCATCTAGAATTTTATGTTTGTGTATGATGTGACATAGGGATCAGTATACCTTTTTTTCCACATGAATA